GTTTAGTCATTGTATTACCCTTTTTCCCAGTCTGTTGTGGGCTACACTTGCCAACAACCTTTCTGCTCCCCAGTAGTTCTGACATCTATCCAAGTCTATTTTACCTTTCTTGGCTAATCGTTCCAATATGATGATGTATTTCATCTTGATATCACGGGAAAGCTTGCCCCAGGTGCAATTCATCAACACAGCATTCTGAGATATCTCGATTTTTAACTCTCCCAAACAAGTTTTGGCATAATCTCTCAAAATATGAAGGAGAGATTTTAACTGCACGTTCTTTATTTCTTTGGATTCCAAACTCTCGTCTGGGTTGGGCTTCAATGCTGGCCGAATACATAACATAAACTCCCATAATGATTCGTTGTCAGTTGGCTTGTGAGTGGGATCCTTCTTACCGACAGGGTATCGAGCGATATCTCTACAGCTCAATGGTGCAGTTGTTGGTAAGACTAAATGAATATAAATGTTAAAGGTACATTAGAGTATGTTACATGTCTGATATAGTTACCTTCTTCAGGTGAGGAGGCAGTGGTGTTTTGAGAAAATAAGCGTTCAATAACAGCATCAAAACGATCGTTTAACTGAGAGTGGTTGGACTTGATGTCATTTTCTAATTTATAGATTTGCTGTTGCATTTCTTGCATGGTTCGAACAATGTCACTTGTATTGTATGCTGGCATTTTACTAAAAATTTGGAATGTTAAAAAGAAAGGACACTTTATATGGTACCATCAGCTATTTATGTACTTACCAAGTCATTATACGTCATATTCTTTACCTTATATTATGCTAAAATCTAAATAATTATTAGCGTTTCGCTGAGATTGAAATGTGGATCTACTAGTAAGCTAATTGCATTAAGTACTTAATGGTCAATTCATCATTACGTCTTTCCTTTCTTTATACTTCCCTCTATTTTTTTAAAAAAATGTCCACACGTAATGTCCCATGCCCCTTATGTGATAGTCTTTTCAATGACGATACTTCAATGCTTCAACATCAACGAAGAGAAAATTGTTCGCGTTTTGCCATAAGAAATATGATGAACGGTGACATTAGTCGTTTAAATGGTAATGCACAACATGTCTCTGAAGAATCTGCTTCTGAAGAGTATACTGATAATGATGTTGTAATGGAGGAACTTTCGGGTAATATCAAATTAAGTGAATAGCAAATGTTTTAGGCTAACTTACATTGTCTTGTCAGAAACGGCACACGAAGATATTTCAGTCACGTACGAAGATCCTATCAAGTTTAAGCATTTTGACCATGATTACGACTGGAATACGATTCAAACGTTTGGGATAGGTCTTATTAAACTTCTTGATCACAATGGCGTCTCCAGACAAGTTCAACGTGACGTGGTAAAGCATATCAATGATAATCTTCTATCTGCTTTTGACCCAGTTGCTGTTAAGGGTAAGCGATGTATTTACTTACAAACTTTTTATAACGCTAATCAAAACTTAGACTTGGGTGGTTTGGTTGCTTCCCACGAAGCTATTCATAGACTCCTTAACAAAGGCAGTATTAATACCGTCCAAATGTATGATGTGTGTCGTGATGGTTGTTATCTTTTCGATGATGATGTAGACCAATTGCATTGTATTAACCCTAGTTGTGGGAAAGGGCGTTACAAAGACCAGAAAAAAGCCGAAGCTTTGATCCATGCTGGTAGCAATACCCCTCAAGAAGCCTTCCAGACCATGGCTATATCTTCTGTGGGTGCTTCACTTGCGGAGCTATTAGTTGATGATGAAATCCGAGAAGATATGGAATATTCCCGTCAATTCAGCCAGTATGATGAAGAAGGCGTTTACATTGATATGTTCTCTGGTTCCGTGTATAAGGATTTTCTTCAACGAAACTTGCTTACCCGCAACGATGTCTGTCTTGTTTTGTATGTGGATGGCTTCCCTAATAAATCCAAACCAGGAAGTTCCCAGACATTAGTCCACTGTATAGTTATGAATATCCCTGCGTCCAAAAGGTATACATATTTAGCTGCCTTGCGAAAGTATCTGTTATGTTAGCTTACCTATTCATTTATAGAGCAAAGGAGTCAATGATGATTCCATTAGCTATTATACCCGGTCCTAAAAGCCCGAATACCTCATGAGTTTCTTAAAACCCATTATCAATGAGATTCAATCATTATGCTCAAGAGGTTTTCTAGTTGAAAAGAATAATGTCGTTGTCCACAAAAGCAAAGTCTTCTTGCTCGGTATGACTGGTGACATCCCAGGTATTGCTGACTTGATCAATCATCGTGGGTATACGAGCAAGTATGGTTGTAGAATATGTCGCGCAGCGGGTAGTCATCCTGAAGGTAACAATTATGGTATGTACTTTTTGAAGGCTGGCGATATGCGAACAAGACAACAGTTGATTGACGGTGACCTGGTAAATGATTCAGAATATGAATCTCAATATAATACTGATAATTTAAATTAAAAGTTTGATATGCTTGGTATTGATTCTTTAATTGGGTCTCTTTCTACCTTCACTGGCACCCCTTTTTTTCTTGGTGACGAAATGCATCTCATCGGTAGAGGACTTGGTACTTTGGTCTATTGTCTTTTGCACCCCCAAAAGAATCCAAAGTTCTATGACACAATAGTTGGTTGCAAAAATTACACGTTCGAGCTGATTACGCAAGACGGAAAAATTTTCGATTCAATCGATGAAAAGGTCAACCAAAGTAGGGTCAATATCCCATCAGCGTTCGAAGGAACATGGAACTCAGCTGTTGGTATCTCCAGAGCTGTTGATTACATCGACTTTCTTTTGTATGTTGTCCCAACAATTATACTTCCACTTGTACGAAGCAGTCAGTCTAGAACAGCTTTAATGAATTTGGTAGAGGGGTGCTCTATAGCTCTTCAATGGCGTATCTCACGAGAGGATATTACGAAGATGAAAAGGTAATACGAGTTTCTGATTCTACATAAACAAAATGAGACATTGATGCAAATTATTAGATGTTTCTACAAATGGCATACCTTTTTGAATGACGAAATCTGCCATAAAAGAATTAACGCACGAGTCTTCACAGCCAACAACCATTATTTGATGCATTTGCCTTTTTTGGTTGAAAAAATGGGACCGTTGAAATGCTATTCCTGTCGACCAATGGAGCGAACAATCAAGAAGTTTACCAACTTGATCAAATCTACGCATCTGATAGGGGCCAATGCATCGAATGTTCTCCGTCACCAAGCTAACTACAGCAAAATGGCCGTGAGACGTTTGGAAGCTATTCAGTTCCCTGAATCGATGGATCGTCCTGACACTTATCGGTCTCATTCTTCAGGTGTTCAAATCTGGTCTCCGTTTGTGGCGCAATCCTTGTCAGGTCCAGATGAAGAAGAGATATGCTTTGGGGTCCAAAGATCAAAAGTAATTGACGCATTGTATTCCTATTACGATCGTAAGGATGGTCATGCTATTGAAGCTTTGACCTCGTCGAGAATTGAAATTGCTGGTCGTGCATGGAAAGATGATTTGGTGTTTTCTTCTATCATGGACAGAACTTTGAAGAGACTCAAAACAAGAGCAAACAGTCATGTTCTGTTCCAGGCACCTAAAAGTACGGGCCATAGGTAAGTAAAGACTATATATTAACCATATCGAGGCTTACATTATAAATTATAGAACTCTTTCTGTTTGGTTTGTCGGTGTTGTGCACTGTTACTTCAGTCATGTCCAAGACGGCAATGTCAATTTTCTGGCTATCGTTGAGGTGATGAAACAGCAGCAGTTTGACAACTATAATGTCGTGACAGTTGCTCGCAATTCAAGAGGGGATCGGTATAAGAAGTACGCGGTAATATCGATTTCCAACATTCTTGAAGTTGTAGGTCTTGTTCGGTATTCTGCTTCAGATAACCTCTTCAAGGTTGTTTGGCCTTACATCAAGTATACCGATAAGATCGGCCATCGTCCTGCCGGCTCTTTGGGTGATCTTTAGACTGGTTTTCCTTTCTTTCTTCCGCTTTACGAAAAGTTTACAATAAAGCAATTCCTGTCATTGAATCGTCCCATGAAGTGAATGTTCTTTTATTTTTTTATTTTTAATTTATGTGTAGATATGTAAAAAAAGAAAAAAAAAAAATAGAAATTGGAAGTTCGTGATGGTACATTTTTACCACCGGTGGTACAATTTCACGTCCGGAAGTTCAAAAAATCAACCGGTGGTACATTTTTACCACCTAGTGAGCCGCTGTGCATATGCGATACCCGTACTCGGTTCATGTACGTAATAACTGGGCACTCCGGTAAGTTCGTATGGAAGGATAAAAAATGATATAGCAGCTTACCGTTTGTTATTATATTAAGGCAGAAACCATGATGCCCGAGTGTTTACTAGCAGTGTGATCTATCATAAACTTTTGTTTGATGTGGCCAGATGGGGTCCCGCAAACACTTATATTTTGGGAGGTAAACTCATTAATCATACCATAGTGTACAAATTATTAATGATGTGACCTAGATTCGGCTTACCCTTTGCTGCCAAACCTCATTGTTCCATTTCATGGCCGACGTGAAAGCACTGCAGAAGAAAAGATTTTCAATGAAATCTCTTCTAGTTCTCGCATAAAAATAGAAACATGCATTTGGTGGACTCACATCCCGGTGGAGATTCCTTTGGAAGCATTTGTATATGCTTAGTGTTGATAGAATGGCCAAAACTATCATATCTTGCTGTGATTTACACAACATTTGTATAAATCAAAATGACATTGAAGAGGCAGTGTTGGATGGAGGATTAGATTTCGAGGGTTTCGTGGAGGCAGATCGCCGAAACCAGTATAAAAACGAGGTGAATTTTGAACCCCCTCTTCCTTTTGATGGTACCAGCGCTACCATCGACGCAGCCGGGATGCGCCGTCTTAAGGCAATGTCTATCTTAAGAAGAAACAATATCATGAGGGGAACAGATAGACTTTCATAGTTTTCAAAAGGTTTTAATGAATTAAAAATTTTATTTTATTTAATTAATTATTGTTGTCAGTAGAAGATGTACCATTAAGATTGGTATCACTATCACCTCTTCGAATGGCTGCGAATCTATTCAGGATAGTCTCCATATCAGACATACGTCTACGTCTATGCTCTTCCATGTCAGCCTCTCGTCTACTTCTTACTTCTTCGAACATACGGTATCTCTCTCTGGTCTCTTGTCGCCGTCTTGCTTGCATATCTTCCAGTGCAATTTGTCGATTACGACTGATACGTTGCAACATGTTATCAACATCGAGAAGTCTTTGTTCTCGATCTTCCCTTTGTGATGCTGCCATGCGATCCATCATCTCTACACGAAGTTGGCGGGCACGTGCCATATGCTCGTCTGACAGCTGACGAGCAGCTTCAATAGGATCAGTTGATGAAGACTGCTCACCAGAAGTTCGACTATTTCTCGATGTACGGGTAGATCTTGGTGGAGGTGGTGCAGATGAAGGTGGAGGTGGAGGTTGTGCGGATGTATATGGAGGTGGAGGTGGAGGTGGTGCGGATGTATATGGAGGTGGAGGTGGAGGTGGGGCGGATGTATATGGAGGTGGAGGTGTGGATGAAGGTGGTGGTGGAGGTGTTGCGCCTGTCGATGTTGGTGGTGCTGCGGATGCTGATGTAGGTGTTGGTGTTGGTGTTGGTGGTTCGGTTGTTGGTGTTGAGGTTGGTACGGCTGTTGGTGTTGGTGTGGGTGTTGGTGTTGATGCTGTTGCTGGTGTTGGTGCTGGTGCTGGTGCTGTTGTTGGTGGGGGAGGTGCGGATGCTGATTCAAAAAATGATGGCACTGCAGGTCCTTCGTTGTTGGTAGAATCTCTAGCAGGATATCGATCAGCAAATGCTTTCTGAATTACAAGTTGATCAACTTCTGTAGGTCCCAAGTATGTTGTTTCAGGGACATCGGATCCAATAGCATTCATCAAATTGGCGTCGTTAAATCGTCTGTAAGACCGAATACCACTCTCTTGCATGTTGATGCTTTCGTAAATCACTTCAGGTTGGATGCTGGGATTATCCTGAGTAATCGTAGCAATTTCCTCGTAGTACGGCATGTTTGGAACAGTTCCACCAACTCCGGTTTCTCTTGCTGCATTTCATACTCTGGTAAAACGCTGCTTCATATCTGCCCACTTTCTTTGCATGCTTGTCCCACTATAGTTTGTCAAAAAAGCCGTGATTACATCAGTGGTAGCATTCTCAGCTAACTTTTCCTTCAGCAAAGCAGCCGAATGTACCCAGATAAGCTGCTTTAAGGCAGTATCGCTTCTTCTCAGCAAGTAGCTGTAGGTACCAGCCATAATTTCGAGGAGGATACAAATAGCTACATCAGACCATACATTGTAGGACCGTGAAGATAATTGTTCAGGCTCATCGTCATCATCAACGTTGGCGTTATTGTCAGCTTCGGTGTTGCCGTTGTTAACAGGAATGGTGTTTTGCTGAACGGTAGGATCGACAACAAACACAAAAGTGCCAGCGCGTCTGCCACGTCCACGTCTGCCTCCACGTCCACGACCACGTACATTGTTGGGGGCATTGTTATTAGCTTCGGTATTGTTAATAGTAAGGTAAGTGATAAAATGTATTTGACAAATTAAAGGGAAAGAAAAATAAAAATAAAAAAACACTGGATTTAAAGAAGTTCGTTATTTTATCATTTCCTTTTCAAGTAAACTATTTTGAAAACAAGATCACTTTGATCATGTTTTTATTTGATTCCTTATATGTATATGTATTATTTTGCCCAAATTTAGCTCTACCTTTCAGAGACTTTTTTCACTATTTTTGTATAAAAAATGCGCTATTTATTTTCGGTTTCCGATCTTGAGAGCACCTATTATTTCATTCCTATTTATGAACTCTTCTTCAGTTGTCAATTTAGTTGGAATGGTCTTATTTATTTTAGGATCTGTATAGTCCTTAGGTCTATTCAATTGTCGAGCAAACATGAAAGAGAATGGGCTACTACCAGTTCGGTTACGAATCTTGTAGTTACAGCATAACTGAGTAGCAGGAAGCAATTCATCCCATCTACTATTATCATTACCACACAATTTTCTCACTGTTGTTTTGCATGGAGAACAAAATAAAATATAAACCAAAAGTGATACTGTTAGAACTTGGATACCACTTTATTATGGACGAAAAAATATAATTAAAACGTATTGAGAAATGTATTGATAGTCTATGAGAAAAAATCACGGATATTTATATAAAGAACTGGGATAGTTCTAGGGAGGATATTAAGCGCCTTATTGAATCATGATGTAATAATCTGGTGATAGTAAATAATCAACATGTCTTTAAATTTAGCCCTTCCATACTGAGTATATAAATATTAGTCAGAGGGATCAACAGATATAACTGTCGTGTTTGGGCACGACTCACTTAAGGATAATTAAGCAAATAGTTTAAATAAATAAACTATGAAATTAAAACAACCTTTGATGTTGAATATCAACATACGCTTGTATACTGCTATACAACTTCTCCTACTTCGATTACATACTTCTATATTAAAGATTACATGATTGGCCTAAATACGATATACGAATGACAGTTGGATACAGAATGCTATACCACTGAGTTACGATATCACCGATCGAGAAGAGAAACTTCTCAGATCAACCAAGAATTATAAGAAAGAGAAACTTAGTATTAATAGTTCTCTCAATGGATTAGCTACCCAGAGAGAGAATAGAACAGCTATTAATATAAATGGTTCATTTACTTATATATTGATATAATTATACTGCTGAAAAGAGTATAAAGAAATAGTGTATGAATTAATGGATACCTAGCTTCTACGACCAAATATACAAATATCGATAAGACATTTTATATTTGGGATCGTAATTTATTCATTACAAAAATAATGAATAAATGATCAAATATTATGTTCTATTGGTAATTACACTTGACAAACAAGTATGCGTCTTTTACAGTAACCGTTGCATGATCTGATAAATAAGTGTTTCGTAATACTAAAGATTTATTAGAATACTCATGCTCCCGATCCACTGATATGGGACAACGTTAACTGGAAACAATTCTAGCGAGTAGTATCCATTTAATCCAAGGCGGGAAACAAAGTATAGATCTATTCCAAAACCAGAAAGGTTGACTCATCATTAAAACTCAGGAGAGTTGTGCAATATAAAAAGGATCAATTATTTCATAGCAGCAGAGTTCTTTTAGTCTATTTTTACCCCTAATAAAAATATACTTTTATCTCATTACTTTTCTATGTAATATTTTGTCAAATACCACAGAATGCGTTGGAAATAAGTGACATGTTTTTCATAAAGGAGGTTGGAAGATGCTTCAATCTATAGAGAGATTAGATAAGTAATTAAGTAGCGTTAAGTGTATGGTAGCTTACTTGGGCTCAGACAAGAATAAGCAGTGGATGATAGAGGAATTTGTAACATTAAACTGGTGAGGCACTAACAAAAGACGTAAAGGCTTAAGACGCGTACTATTTAATCTTTGAATAAACCACACGTAACAATAGCTTCCAAAGAAGACGGAAAAGGAAGCCAGAAAAAGCTGATGTATCTATAAACATACGTGAGGTAGAGCGCGTTAGTTCCTTCTATATGAGCAGTCCATCAAACAACATTTACGATAATCAAAACTTGCTTTCCCTCTGTAGCTATGAGTCTAATAAATCCTTCATATATTGAATGATAAAACCGTGTTTTAGGCTACTTTACATTGACTATGGAAGGAGTGGTAGTTAGAATAAGTCTAGCCGAAAATAAAGAAAGACACTTACAGATGACATGGAAGCAAAAAGTAATCAAGGTGTTCGAATTGACAAATAGACTTGACAATAAAAAAAAAACCAGTATTATCAAAACAGACAACCAATACAATAGGGGAAAAAAGTTACAATAGCTGCACAGTTTATGTTTTTTTTAAAAAAGAGCAAAAAAAAGAAATAGAAAAAGGGAGTGCAGACTTAGGGAAGACGTTTTATTTAAATATGGGACTATTTTTTATTTTTAGTACTACTATTGTTTGCGTCCGTGTTTTGTCTTAATGATAGGGTCTTCATCTTCACTGTATTCATATTTGCGGATGATCCTAATAGGTTCTCTCCGTTTTGGAGGAGCTAAAAAAAATAGGAAAAGAACAACCGGAGGCATTAGCAGAGGTAGGGGCAGAGGTAGTGGCAGTGGTAAAAAGATAGAGTGTGAATAAATGACGTCAATCTCAAAAAGTATGTGTGAATTGGGCTTAGAATAAAATAGAGTGTTATCGTTCCGAAGAAAGCCCACTTGTTGAAATTGCGTACAAGTTTGGTTACAAAGTTACCTTTAGTTGTTTGTCTTGCGTACAAATTAGTTTGGGGCAAACAACTGCAAAAAAAAGTAGAATCGGTTGGTGACAAATCGTACAAATTTTATTGCAAAATCACCAACTGTTGTTCGTTTTGCGTACAAATTTGATTGCAGCAAACAACTAAAAAATAAAATAAAAAAAATAAACAAAACCAGTTGGTGACAATTCGAACAAATTTGGTTGCAAAACTACCAACTATTGTACGTTTTACGAACAAATTTATTTAAGTCAAACAAAAAATCCGCCATAGTGTACGTGAGGATCTAAATTTATCTCCGCAGATGACATTACGCAAATGCCAAAGAAAATGTTTAGTGCGCGTAATTGGTATTTAGACATGAAAATAAAAAATATGAAATATGATTGCTTTATCTTCTTTTTATTTAAAGTCAGCGAAAAAACAGAAATAAAATTAATTCGAAACATACTATATATAATTGATCTTAAGAGCGAGGTCAGAAAAGGGTAGGGAGGGTGGGGAAATCATATTTCATATTTTTTATTTTCATGTCTAAATACCAATTCTAGTGTCGAAATAGATTCTAACAGAATTGGTTGAGACACTCAAATAAAAAATGTGAACTATGATTGCTAATCCAGAGAAATATAAGTGTGTAAAATTAAGTAAAATCCATGTTATCATCCATAGCATCGAAGAAAATTTCGTCCATATTTTCATCATCTTCAATATTATTGTCAGCAGTGATGAGCGTGTTAGTGAAGTCAAAACTGGAGAGATGTTCGCGGCGGCAATGGTTTTCAAACGTAGAGGAAGATGCCCAAATGCCCATGGTAACAATGTTGTCTTTAGGTATACCAGATTGAAGAGCCAATGAGGAGGCAATGAACCTTAATGAGACTCGTTTTTCCTCCGTTGAATGGCGTATCAGTTTAGCAATCCAGCTTTGAAGTGTGCGTGGACTGAGATCTTTGTTGGGCTGTAAAGAGTTGATAAAGAGAGTACTGGCCTGGCAGGATGGTCGACGTTGAGAAAAAAGTTGAAAAGTGCGTACAGGGCAGAGGCGCTGATCTAAGTGGGCTTTAACTTGAAAGGACTTGATTATACGACGACGATTTCGCTTTCCTTTCGGACAGTGTACTTCAAATGAAAGAGTGTTACTTTGGGATATTAACACCGAAAAAGAGGGATACGATGTAAATCCAAAGGGCGAAGGAAACAAGTAACATCCAAAAGAAATGCCAGTTTACTTTGTAGTGAGGCAAGTGAAATCGTGTCAGTGTTCAAGGTCGTTAAATAATCAACCGTGGGCTGGAGGCTGATAGTAGGTCGATGTAGGCGAGTAGGTGGTGCTTGTTGTAGAAGTGTGGTAATGAAAGAGTTAATATTATCATCTTCTCGTAAGCTACGCGGATTGTAATGTAAGTGCGTTACTGCCGATCGGAAAAGTTGAATGGTGGAAATTGCATATGAGTGATGAATGTGCATGTCATTCAAAAATTGATCAAATCGGTTGAAGTGAAAAATTGTTGTGAAGTTTGTTTCTCAATACACCATTTAAGAAACAAAAGTTGACCTGGTTTAGTGTTACGCGACAAATCGAGCGTACTTTCAATTTATCTTCTCTTTTAATCACCTACCAAAGTGCATAACGCCTTTTCGGGCTTGCACCTGTCAGAACTATCTCTTTCCACCTTTTTCTTACCCATAGATCTGTGACCTCTTACTAGGCGCAGTTATCCCATTCTTCTTCATAAATTTATTTAATTTCTTTAATTTCAGTGACTGGATTATATATCCATCACTATAAATAGGCCTCCATAAGACCTCTCTTTCAATAAAAATCATCATCTATTATCTTACTCATATTTCAATACTTTGACCTATTAGTTTTATATATTATTCAGCTCTATTATCATTCTGATTGATCCCTTGGTTATATATTATCATTGTATCTTTTATTTTATAAGCATATAAGGCTATACTTATTCTCATTTATTTTCAGTTCAGCTTCTGATTAAACTAGCTGTGGTACTCACTTAACTCGCAACTCTAAAGACCTTTCTTTACTAAACCTCTATTTTATTTAAAGAATCTCTTTTATCTCTATTATCCTACTCGCATTCTCTTCTAAAAATAGGAATTATTGGTTGAGTTGTCTTGTATACAATGGTTGATAAGAATTGCTTGGGCATTTGCATTCAAATTAGACTGTTGATACTTCGAGCGGATAAGTTCCAAACGGCGAGTTTCCAGGTGTTGTTTGTCATTGGCCAGATGGCTGATAGTGACGGAAGGACGATCACCAATTGGTGGAATAGTAAAGGTGAATTGATACTCAGAGATTGTATCGTCGGGAACCAGAGAGCGCTGGGCCACCAGGGAGTTATCATTGTGACGTGAGATAGCTTCTCTTGTACAATTTTCTGAAGACATCTACTGATCAAGTTCCACGGTGGGTTCAGGTATGGATGGCGAAACTAATTCCAAGGGATACTGAATGCGTCGGTAAATGGACTGCTCAGGTCTGGGAGCCAAGATACGTACTTTGGTAATTGTTTTGTTATCCGGTCTGCAAACAGATCTACGTCGTTTGGTCCCAGATATTGTTGAAGATTCCGGAAGGTTGATCGATCTATCATCCAATTGTTCTTCTGGTAGGGGCGGCGAGATTCGTAATCTGCCGTGGTATTATTGATTCCGGCAATATGATTGGATCGAATTGTAATGGCACGTTGAAGGCACCATTTCCAGAGTTGGGTTACTAATTCCATAAGGGAAAGTGAGCGGGTTCCACCTTGTTTGTCCATATAAGCCATGGAGGTTGTATTGTCCGTTTTGATCCGTGTCTCAAACCACATAGCTTATACGTAATAAAAGTAGATGTTGTGATGTTTGAGATATTAAAAAATAGATAAAACAGAATAAAAAGAAGTAATAAGAAATGAGTCTCTATTAATCCTTTATTAAAGTTATGGAGAGAAAGTCATCGCAAAAGGGAGGACGCTTTTTTTATCAAACATCTGGGAGATTGAATCTGGTAAGGAATAGGCAGTGGCTTGTTTCTATCTTCTGAAACATGGCAATTAGAATTACATGGTCTTAAGTCAATCAATACTTTCTTATATTGATTGGCCCAAATTATTAAGTGAAAAATTCTCATTAGCTGACACTTCAGTAACAGATTAATGAGAATCAAAAACAACCAATAATAATATAATTTCCCAATATATAATCTGTAACAAGATTATACTGGTAATATGAGAGTACCACTCGAATATTATAATTTAACCACATTGAAGGTCATTCTATACGATATTTATTGGAGGAAATACGACAGATGTAATTGACGTAAATGGAAATAGTCTGTATCACAGATCTATCGGTAAATAAAGTAACAAGATCCAGTGACATTGAAAGGATCTGAATATATCCATTCCAACATAAGAACACAAACTTGACTTGTGTATTCGACACTCAAAGAAGAAATTTATTGATGACTAATTACTGTCAAATATGAAATTAGTTTCCAGCTGTCATTTAGTATAAATAGACCCCAAATTATCATCTTAACATCTTGGTCAATAAATTTATAAAGGAATTCTAAACGTACTTATGTACTTTGTTTTATTTTTTATTCTATTTTTTATTTTTATTAAATCACACTACCAATTTATTACAATCAGGATCCGCATGCTGTGAAGATCCGGAAAGGTTTTCAGTGCAAGAAATGCTGCTTTGAGTTCTCTCCAATTGGTCGACATTTGTGCTTTTTGATGAGTCCAATGACCAAATGCGGTTTGTTTGTTGTTGTTGTTGTTGTGCTGTATGCTGCAGCCCCATCCACTGTTGCTGGCGTCGACATAGACCGTTTGTTGAGGTGTTTGAGGAAGAATACTCTTGCCGTTCTAATAGATTAAGTTGTTCTTCCACCATGTAAGTTCCTCTATGCATTCGGTTGTCAGTTGCTGCTGTTGAGGATGTCATAGATTATAATAAAGGAATCATCACATTTACATAATAATGGATGATCATGTATAAATATTCATGGCTCAGACTTCGCCCCATTTGTTATCATCAGAACCGTTGGTGTCTGTGCACAAGGTGATTCGCCTTGTGACGAGTAAAATATTATAATACCATAAAAGTATAGTACAATCCCATAGGCGGAATATTTGGTTACTGAATATTACACGCACTAAACTTTCTCTTTGGCATTTACGTAATGTCACCTGCGGAGAGGAATTTAGATCCTCACGTACTTTTGTCTTTACTTTGTAAGGCAGTAATTACTTCATAACATTATATCATATTCCTCTAACGCGTCACATATATTATCCGAAAGCCATCTAAGAATTTAGTATAAATACCTGTAGTTTTTTGCTAGTAGAATTCCCTAATCTAAATTTTCTCGAAATAAAAGATATACACAGTTCTAACAGTATTTTCTTTTGTTACGTTAATTTACATTTTTATCTCCATCCCAAACAGTTTTTACTGTTAATTACTCAAATGAATTCTACTGGTGTCAACTCTCCTGCTGCTAGTCAAGTTAGCCAAGACTTCATGGTTAACCCTTTGAATGTATCCGCTGGTAACGCTCCCTTCTTCAGTGCTAATGGTTTCAATACTACTGGTGGTAATGCTGGAGGTGGCGAACATATGAGTGAACCTCATACTCTTCGTTCATTCGCATCACAAGCTGGTTCTGCTTCCGCTGCTTTGGATGAGCATGCAATGTTGAATAATATCATTCAAGGTCTTCGTGAAGAGAAGGCTGCTCTTCTTACTGCTTTTAGTGAAGCCCGTGCCAGAGGTGACTATGGTGCGTCCGATATTGCTCTGGAAGACATTGATCGTATTAATCGTCAGATTATCAAGTTGAACGGTTTTGACTCTGCTTCTGTGGTATCCAAGGCCAACTCTGGTAACTATGATGGTTTTTCCTCCTCTCACTCTGGTGATGGTCTCTCCTTGTCCCGTAGAGATTTACCCTGTTTTCAACTGGCCTCCAGTATCGTTCGTCTATTTCCAAACGATGAAGTGTTTGAATCTGCTGAGCATTTCCTGTAGACGTTTGAAAACATTATTGCTGGTTCTGCCCGAGATATGGAGAGGGTGTGGAAACAATTTTTGCCTTCGTGTTTACCTAGCAGTGACAACGCTTGGGTCAACACGGAGTTGAAGAAGTGTACTTCGTGGGCTAGTGCTAGTGCCGCCTTTAAAGAGTACCATGGTTCGGCCAAGATTACGAGCCATTATACCGATATGGTCTTCACCATGAAGATGACCGTACAAGAGTCAATTACTGACTACTCGAAAAGATTCTTGCAGACAGTATTTAACGCTGGTCTATCCCAAACGGACCCACGTATTGCTGATTGGTTCCTTTCTTCTTTGGTCTTGCCGGTGCAAACCATTTTACGTATGACGCTGGCTCGAACCAAAATATTTGCCAACAAGGACAAGGGTTGGACAGTTGAGTACATTACTCAAGTTGGTCGTGACGTGCTAGGTGATGATAACTCAGTTTATGCTGGTGCTGCTGCGGTGATTCCATCTGGTGTGAAGAGAGAGAAGTTCTCGTCTGGTCGTGACGTCGAGGTCCGTCGTAAGAGGTTCCCGTTCAAGAACAAGACTGTGAACCGAGTGTCTAAATCCTTCTTCTGCACCCAACATGGCAAGAACGGTACTCACGAGACGAAGGACTGTTTCAGTGGCAAGAAGAAGAGTGCGATCACAAGTGGCAACCGTAAGTGTTACAGGTGTCAGCTTCCTTGGGTTCCTGGCCATCAGTGTCAAGAGAGTCGTCCTGTCCTTGCCGTTTCCGGTTCAGCCGAGAATCAGGCCCAGCCAGCCGCTTCCATTGAAGAGTAGGCCACTACAGATGTCAGTACAATGATGGAGGGATTGTCGTACGACAATTGTAAGTATCACAATTACGAGATAAAGAGAGATTCAAAAAGTAAAGCTAATCAATTTAATCTTTTGACTCCTATAATCATAGAGAACCAGCACCTGGTCGGGACTATTGACACGGGTAGCAGTACCACTTTCATAAAAATGAGTACATTAATAAACAAACTAAAAATTAATAAAATAAATAAATTAAATGGTTCCTATAATTTTTTGACTCCTAATAGTGGAGCAGCTCGCATTGGCAAAACTAACCTTTTGAAATGTAAATAGTCTAATGGTATTGTATTTGATCATGCTTTCGAGGTCATGGAGTTCAATGACGGATTTGAGTTTTACATTTTACTTGGCAAAGATATTCTTCCTAAAATAAATATTAGTTTGACCGGGGTTGCTTATAAACTTGATGGTGCTTCGTCACACTTAGATGATAACGCAGCTTTTAGAAATGTAAACATTTATCACGCTAATGAACATGAACCCGATAATTCGCCTGCAGGTACGCCTGAAGAAAGAGCGAGATTCTTCGATCTTATAAAAGAATCAGTTGATCACAACCAAGCTATTTCATCATCCTTATCTTGTCCTATGCCTGAGTCAATCATTTGATTACCAACTAAAGAAGGAGCTACGTCGTATCGCAGACAGTATGTCATTCCACATGCGTTAAGACCAGTATTAGATAAGCAAATTGATGAGTGGTTGAAAACTGGTACAATTATAAAGTCCAAAGTCAACACGTCCTTTAACCATGCATTGTTACTTGTTCCTAAATGTGACAAGTGTTGTGATCGAGCTTATTTACAGATATAACTCTATCATCAATTCTTTCTTTCTTATTTGATAACCTTTCTATAAATTATTATTGCATTACTCTTTAAATCAAATACATGCTATTACACTCTATTTACTACGCATTGATTACTCATCAACATATAGAAAACAATAGTCATACATTTATTCCAGATAATACCATCCAATGATATGATCGCTTGTCAATAACAAAATTCTCGGAGGTGCCATGAGATGCTCGATCTTTAATTGACAATACGCCTATTGTATATTTGACAGGTTTCACTTTAATGATTGATATTCAGCCAGCCCTGAATATGTATATAAAGAACCCAATTTATTGTATAATAAAGACTTTAGTTTATTATTGCAGTTTGATAATTTTACTTCCTCAAATTTTATTATTTTTATTCTTAATTCTTTGCTTTATCTCTCGAATTTCTCACATAGTTTATTTATTTAAACGATTTGCTTAATTATTTATAAGTGAATCGTACCCAAATACGACATTTATAATAGATATAGTTATGTAGACTAGTAATGAAGTAGTAAAAAGATGATCTTTATTAAATTGAGATTCTGAATAAGTTTTATAATTGATGCGGAGTTTCTACTAAAATAAGTGTGACACTAAGAATGAGCAAAATTTATTAGTGAAAGTGAGCAATTTTTTTCCTAGAGTGTGCGAATAATTTATGAAAATAGTGTAAGTCTTGTCGTGGCTTTGGTCACACAAGTAGTTTAATATTTCAAATAGTGCTCACTAAAATATAATAAAATCATCTTTTGATCTCCTAAATAATCTTTGATATATTTGGTCGTTACATAACAATAGTTTGTCGGGTCTGATATAAGTATTAAGCTTAGTTATAGATATTTAAGTAGAGTTGTAAAAGAGTTATCGTTTTATTGAAGGATTGATCTGACATATTTATAATTATCTAAAAGCAGTCACGACAAGTGTCGTACTTATAATTCATATCACCTCCGCTCACCTATAAAATAGAATCAATAATTAAATCAAATAAAGTCATCTTTGATCTACTCTACATTTATTTTATATACACTAATTTCATAAATTATTCGTGCACTCCAGGAAAAAAATTCGTTCATTTTTACCATAAAATTTCGTTCAGCGCCCTAATAATATTTCGTTTAAACTAAGAAAACAATTACGCGCATTTAAAGGTGAAAAATTCGTTTATTTTCTGGAGCTAGTTTACAAAATTACATTTGCAATGGATAACATTATTATTGAAGATGGTCAAGGAGGCGCAATTGATGAGCAGGGAAATGAGATTGTTGAAATGTTAATGGATGTCGACTACGAGACTTTTCCCTTGGAAAACGCTACAGAGTATGATCAATATGTCGATGTCAAGCCAACCGAGAAAGAGAAAAAGAGGTTAAGAAAGAAGAGTTTGTGGAAGCTGAGACTGGCAGCACCGACCCTGAAATGCCTGTTCGAAAGACTTATAGACGTTATAAAGACGAGGATAAAGAAAAGTTTTTTTATTACTACACGCAGACAGATATGTCCACCCGAGCAATTGCTCAGAAATTGAATATACCTCCTTCGACAGCGCAAACATGGGTAAAACAAAATGAAAAAAAATCCCCAAGACACGATCATGCGAAGACCCGGCAGTGGAAGACCAGTTGGTAGACCCGCAAAGCTAAATGAAAACCACGAGGCTTTTTTGGTCAACCTTGTAGACGAAAATGCTGGGTTGGTTTTGGATGAGATGATGGAAAGTTTGACAAATGAATTCAGTGACCTCAGCATTTCCAAAACGGCACTATATAATTTTGTAACCGAGAAATGCCGCATATCTTTGAAAAGAGCCCACTTTCACTCTGTCGAACGAAATAGTCCTGAGAAAATTGAGCAGAGACGTCAATGGGTCATTAGATGGATGAGTACTGATATGGACTTCAATAGTAATTGCGTGTTTATCGATAAAGCTGCGTTTCGTATTAATATGAAACGTAGCGTAGCATGGTCTAAGAAGGGAGAACGTGCGGTTGTTGTTGTGCCTAAAACAAGAGCAAAAACAACAAATATTTTGGGGGCCATCTCACCTTACGGTGTCGTCAACGTCAGTATCCGACGTCCAAGAGTTGCAGCCTCTTCAAAAAAAAAGAAAAGCCGAAGGAGGAAAGCCTGTCAGTATCAAAGGCGGGACCGTTACAGGTCATTATTTTAACTTCATTGCCAACACACTAAACGTAATGGATCGACACGAGGAGTTTAAGAACCACTACCTTGTCATGGACAA